CTGGAAAATATCGAAGGTTAAATATGGCGCCAATTTTCTTGGACAATCCAACAGTTTTCATTTTTTTTATGAAAATCTGTGCATTTGAGTTAAAAAAACCAAAAGAGCGTTTTTGTGCCCAATTCAATGTAGAATAAGAAACTGATTTTTGTTTGCAGAAAAATCATTGGCGTGCGCCGGTTTTTCGCCTATAAAGTATGAAAAGGTTAAATATGGCGCGACATTTCTTGGTGAATTCAGCGGATAATATTTTTTAAGTCTGAAACTGTGCATTTTAACACACGAACCCAAACGACCTTTTTTGTTCTCAACTCCATGTGGAATGAGAAAATAATATTTGTTTGCAAAAAAACCATTGGCGTAGTCCGATTTCCCGCCCGGGAAGTTCAAAATGTCGCAAATCGGTTTTCCCGCATATAACGGCGCGGAAAAGTTTCAAACCAACACCATCATCATCAGGGATTGTTTTCCATCAAATAATTTGACGAATTCGGCGCTTGGAGACGCTGATAAACCCATTACATCAACCCGATTAATGTTGTTTGTCTATATCCCCATTAGTCAAGGCCATTAAAGAGATAAAGTCCAGCAGATTCAGATCGGGCCTGGCGAGTGGCCTGAAACTTTCGAAAGCGCGAGCAAAACAACAACAATCTCGTGAAATTGATCCGTTCGAAACCGCAGCAGAACGAAGAACGCAAAAAACAACACAGACTTGTTGATCGGATTTCAGGCCAATGGAAACGATGGAAAACACGAATCCATTTGACGTGAGAGTACGGGTACACTTATCTCGTATCCGGCCGATCAAGCGGTTTGCAATCACCACATTACATGTCGAATCTGAACGAAATCTGATACGAACACTTTATTACATAATCGATGATGATAATTAGCAGGCGAGTTGGTTCATTTATCGCATTTCTGCTCAAACTTGGCGGTTTTGCTGGAATTGTGAGACTGATGACGAGCCGACACTGCCCTCACCCAACATCACATCTGTAAACCCATCGGTTCTTTTGCGCTCCGAACTCAACCTGTTTCTATTATCTATTTGACAGTTGTGTGTATCTATTGGGCGAAGAAATGACAACCCGGTGTTACGTCAGCCAGTATCTATACTTGCGGCAATTGTTTCACAGAATCGAGTAAACATTTGTACGGATTCCTGTGGCCTTTAATAGGGAGTTTTTAGGCCCCTTAAAATTACGTTGGCCTCAAACACGCTAAACGTTATTGTGATCATGCGCAGTGTTAAAAAAATAAGGTGTTTTTATTTATCGTTATTTGCCTGAACACCTTATTTTTTTAACACTGCGCATGATCACAATAACGTTTAGCGTGTTTGAGGCCAACGTAATTTTAAGGGGCCTGAAAACTCCCCATTATGTCACGTCACATAAGTAAATCGGCCGGCCGTTGTGTCAATAAACCGACGGTGTATTTTTTGACAGTTCAAGAACACTGCAACAAGCGAATTTGTGTTTAATAACGGCATTCTAGATTGGAATCAAGGGTAAATCGTTCGCGCAATTGTTACGATTACTCCACAAACACACATAAGATGTTTATATATATTTGATGTCTACGTGTGTGGACTGCAATGATACTCGCTTTCAATGATAATGTTTTTACAAACAAGCAGGTGCTGGTTGGTTGCTCGAGAATCACGCTTTGTTTTCACATTTTTTTCAAAACTATTTCTAGTTGCTTTTTGACAGGTGACAGACTTAAACAACATTTTCCACTCACTTGTCAAAAAGTGCGCGATCTTGGCCCTTTTTTGGGGCTTGTTGCTGCTCCCGGGCCTGAAAATAGAGCTAAAAGCCCCCTTTCAGATCAAGTAGCAGGCTGCGCCCCCCGACGAAACTTTTGAATGTACATCTGGCTTTCCCGCCAAACGCGCATCTAGTAGCCAGGGGGTTGGTAAAAAACTCCCTGCCAATATATGTAGAAAAGCGCGTTGAAGCGTCGGTTTGCTTCCAAGGAAACGAGGCAAGCGTTTATTGACCAAACTTGTATCTGCCCATCAAATTGGCATAATTTACGAATTTAAGTTAATCAAGGACTCCGGCGCATTAAGCAATTAGGGCCCTGGACGGGCATTCGCCCATAGATCGAACGCGACATGCCAACCTTTGGCAGGAAAACAATTAATGGGCAAATTTTATTTATGCTCGGCCAACTAAGCATAATATACACACACATACACACACAGAGAGACACCAGGTAAAGTGAATCGATAACTTATCAATGGGCCGATAAGCTTAAAATGTTAAGAGCAATCAACGACACTGGCAGACCAGGCGGGCGGAATGGCGGGCCTCCCGTGGGCCCCACATTTGGCAATTGTTGCGCCTTTAAATTAAGAAAAATCGTCCAAAACTCACCTACTGACTTTGATCGCACAGCACAGATACCTCCATGTTGAACTTTATGTCAAATATCTAACCAAACTTGTGTTTACAAAACTGCGACAGGCAACACATTCCTCTGCGCCTATTAGCGGTTTCGCGGCCGGTTGACAACACCGTGCCAAATATTTCAAGGTACATCTAAATCGGCGCTCTTTGAACAACATCGTTTAAACAAAGCCAAGAATCCTAGTTGGGAACTTCACGCGCGCTTTAAAACAAAGAGTTTGTGCGTTTAACAGACTTGATTTTGCTGAATTTGAATGTTTTTCACCGCTGGCGGGTGGTCAACGGCCGCGTCAACCCCATGCACGGTTCGCGGTGTTTGACGCAATCATGCGCGCTAGGACCGACAGGAGCTCCGCCCTATGCCAATCGCCCGCCCCAATCGCTTTAAAAATCTTTTCCACCTTATTTCTCTGATTGGTTTATTCATCGATTTCCAACCACAGTCAGGGAATATTGGAGACTTTTAGGGTCCGATAAATTTTGGCTCGAATTTGAGTGATTTTTTCACTTGACAATGTGCAGCAGGCCTCTAAAGCGCTGTTGCCAAACATTGCAAGCCTAAAACAGTTTTCAATTTTTGCGGCAATTAGGAGTGCGTTAGCGGTTGTAAACCTGCTAGAACAGCAGCAAACATTCCAGACCATCCCGCTCAAGTAAAACGTGATCACTGTGGCGAAGTTCCAATAGTTTGCGAAAACAACCCCACTTTCTGCGCTTGTTGGTGTTGTTGATTTTCCGGCATTCGCCGTCAGCTGATTGTCAAAGCTGCACAATTTCCAAGAAGGTTTAGGGAAAATATGCCCTTTTAGAAGAACCCGCGATGGCATTCGTCAAAGATCGCAACTGCTAGATTTTTTGGTGTTCGGCGTCCATAAATGTAAGCAATTGACACTGAGTTGCCCCGTTTGTTTTCTAGGGCAAATCGATAAGTTTTATTGAATTTAGGGCAACTCCTAGAATTCCGCCCAAACCACGCAAAGGCACTCTATTTAATCAGTTGTTGTGCTTCAATTACACGCTGGTTCCGCGTGTACGCAGTGTGTTAATAGTAGCAAATTTGGTTGCAGATTGACTAGCTAAGATGGTGCGGGTGATCTCAATGCACCATTTCGCCAGCCAGAATGTGCAGACGGTTGAACAGCCCACGGCCTGCACAGTGGCACCGCCTGATCGTCTCCTGCTCGCCCTCACCAACAACTGCATCGAGGTGAGGAACCTGCAAAATGACTCCGAAGTGCAATTCTCCTTCCCCACTGTGGATGAAGCGGTCCAGATCGTTCATTGCCTCAATGGTAAGCGGAGCGATTCGTGAGAGCTTGCAGCACACCGAGTCTTTGCAGGCGACTATGTGGCGTCTTTGGAGTCCAAATACAACCGGCAGAATCGGGACACGAACTTTGTCCGCGTTTACATCAACTGGGACAGCGTGGCCGCGATGCAACAGTCCAAAATGACGTCGGGCAATGTGAGCTTGGGCGCTTCGGAGTGTGGAATGGTAGCTGTCCTGCTCTGCCTCTATAGTTCCAGCCAGTTTGAATGTTTGAGTGGTATTTTAGGTGCAACCAATGCGCGCAAGAATTGCCGGCCGCGTCACCCCAACCACCAACCAGTCGGAGCTGGGATCTTTGGAAATGATCGAAGTTCCAGTGCGAAGGAACCCCAATTGCATCGCCTGCTGCCAGGTAAACTCCACTAGTTCGTGCACGTTTACAGTGTTTAGCGGTTCTCTGCTGTAGGTGTCGGGGAACCTGGCCATTCTTTCCAGCCGCCTGGTCAACATCTACAAGTTCCAAGTGCGGACGCACGACATTTCCAAGCTGAAGTTCATCGACTTTGACGAGATGCCCATCATGATGGAGCTGAGTTTTGCGCCGTTTGAGATCCAAATGTGCGAGAACTACGTGGCTGCGATCGGCAGCGACACCATGCATCTGTTCAGGGTGCTGAGCAGCGACAAAACCATTGAGGGCGCAGCCAGCGTGGGGATGAAACGCGGCAATACCGAGCAGGACTTCAGTTTCCTGTGTATGTCGGCGCTCCGCTGTGTGAGTTGGGGATGTTTTAAAGCCCGCGCTTTGCAGACTCGCCCGAGAACCCGATCGACTTCGCTCAGCTCAAAAAGGATGAGAAGCAAAAGCGCCAGAAAGTCACGGTGAACCTGCCGAGCATCGCGAAGGAGAACAGCCTGATCCACAAGCACAGTCCGTTTACGTTCACGGACAAAGGCCTGCGGGCCGCAATTAAGCCCATTAACAGCTTGGAGGTAAGCAACTTGAAGGGGATTGGGGAGCTGCAGTTGCTGATGAGCTTTTTCCTTTTGAGGACAAAACCCAGTGCTACCAGCTGCAGGACTTGATCCAGTTGAAGCTGCTGCCGATCCTGATCGAGAACAACCAGCGGCAGATTTCCGAGGAGTTCAAGAGCATGATTTTGAAGCCGCTCTACATCGACCAGCAGTTTAACCGAACGAGCGAAGATCATTCAGAGTTAAGGAGCCACTACTCGGATTGCTTGAACAGCGTCGCCTGCATGGTCGTCACTCAGCAGGAGGGCTATTTGCACTTTTTCGCCGATAAAGGTGCTGCATCAGGCCCAAGGCTTGTTCGCAGTCTGACAAGGTGATTGTCCACAGATGTGTCTTTGGATGAGGACAACTGCATCGCCGTTTACCCGTTTACGGCGCCAGTCTTCAAGGTGATCATGGAGGATTATTTTCTGCACGCCCTCACTGAAACCGGCCTGGAAACCTACACGCTGCGAATCGGCCATCAGCTTTGCCGCAACATCAACCACATGGACAGCATGCTAGTGGTAATTGTTCGGAACATTCCAACATTTTCATTCACATTTTTCCCTGCAGGCGATTCCTTCCATTGAAGACTCCATCTGCCTGGTGGGCCTCAGGCCGTTCTTGGGCGTTGAAAGGATGCTCCTGGCAGACAACTATCTGCTTTTGCTGGCAAACTCGGAAAGTTCCCCAGCGCGCTCAGTGAGCTCCAGTGGCAGGTAAGTCGCACAACTTGCGCCCTCCTCCGGACTTACCGACTAATGCTTCAGCTCGACTGCCACCTTCCTCACCCTGTACGCCTTGGAGTTGCCCACCCCCAAAGCGGTTTTCAACGATATTAGCATAGTGGCGAATGTGCATCGGTTTTCTTCGGCGCAGACTTACTGCCATCTGGTCAGCGAAGCCCACATGATTCTTCGCATGGGGCTGATGCTGAAAAAGTGGGCGGTCGTGGACGAGGCCCATGTGAAGGGGATTTTCGAGCACAGGGCTGCCAACGACGATCTGGTTGATATTTACTTGCTATCTTGCGCCTTGCTGGGCGACCACTATATGATGTGAGTAAGCGCGGTTTAAGCCTGTGTCCCATGCAAGTGTTTATACGATGGTACGATGATACGAAAGTGTTTCTATTGGTTGGAGATCTGTCAGCTCGGACGTCGCATGGCTTTCCTGCAGTGAACGACACCCTGAGGGGGAGCGACAGCTTAAGACCATCATTTGCAATTGCAGGTGTGAATGTTCCCCTATTTTGTCCATAATTTCCGATCATATTTGCCACTTTATGTGATGTCTTACTTCATTTTCATTAATGATGTCAACTATATTCGGGAAGGAAAACGACAATTTTTTAGTTACGCGGCTGTGGCTCATAAAATTGGTGATTATCCAGTTGATAAACCGCCGCTGATATCAATTTGGTCCCGACGTTTTGCCTGCAGTCACCGGCAACATCTTCAGGTTTAGTCGTGTTTGTTTCCAGATTTAATTCTGTGAAGCGAACGCTCTGATTCGAGCGACGCCAGGGCTGCTTTTTCCATTCGGGAGCGTAGCTGGCCTCGGTTTTCTCCCTCGCACCCATATAGTTCAGCCAGAGATGCAAGATATGCGGCGCGTTGCTGCGTTCGAACTTGCCACCTTCGCGGCTTAAAATTTCCCAATTTTGAGCGAAGCAAATTTTCAAAACATATGTTTACGCCGATTTTCAACCACCTTGTGTAGCAATAGAGGGAAGTCATACGCCATGGTAAAGGTCTAGTCACAGAAACTAGTCAATTTTACATTAAACGGCTTTCCAAGTAAAATCTGATTTATTTTCCTGACTGCGTGTAATTGTTATTATATTCTTATCATTCCTGGGTCTCAGTCAAAGTGTGAAGTAAAAATTTAAATATCGTTTATTTCATTACGTTTCGGCGAGACAACAGCGCCATCATCAGCTTTAAAATTTACACAAACTCATAATTGGTAAACATTAACGTTCTTTTAGGTCTTTGCCTTCTTGAAACCTTAAATCTGTCTTTGACAAATTTGTGACAAGTTTCTTCTAAATGATTACTATATTATTTCGTTACGTTTCGTCGAGACAACAGCGCCATCATCAGATTAAAAATTCATACAAACTCATAATTGGGAAATATTAGATTCTTTTAAATCTTTGCTGTCTTGAAACCTCAAATTTGTTCGAATTATTGTCTGCATTTGCCTGCGTAATCTGATGATGGCGCTGTTGTCTCGCCGACAAGTAATGAAATAAACGATATTCAACAATTTTTACTTCACACTTTGACTGAGCGCAAGCGAAACGTTGGCACCAAATTCCTATCGACTACGACCCCAAAGTGAAATATCATCGATTTTACTCGAAATGTTCCTTAAAACCCCTTAAGACTTGAACAAATCCATTGAACCTCCCTGAATACCGCAAATTATCGTTTGAATCATCCCGGATTCGTCCGATTCGCGCTTGTATTCTCTTGATCACGGGCTTAATATACGCGGCGCCTTTATACAGGGTGTTTCCTAATAATGCGAGAATCTTCTTCCGCCGTTTGTTGAAAATCGGACGACGGCGGACGTCGTACGAGCTGACAGATCTCCAACCAATAGAAACACTTTCGTATCATCGTACCATCGTATAAACGGATGCAGGGGACACAGGCTTAAACCGCGCCACTTTGAATACAAATTCAGGATCCCTTTGTCTTTGTGATTTGGCCTAMCTTCTATTCAAAAAAACAGCCTGGCAAGRAAACAAATATTTTTTTGCGCAAACTATGAATCCCACAAGGTTTTTCAAGGAGCGCAAAAATGTCMAGAACGGTTCAGTGCATCAACTCAAGCCACGGAACGTCTTAGTGCCCTTTTGATCATGTGCCTACTAGACACCCTGTATAATTACTATACAACCTGTTACCAGGTGCCCGAATGAAGCAAGCTACCGCTTGGCCATTCCCTACTACAGGATGGCACTGATCAGCCCAATGGAGGCGCTGAAGAGGGTGAAGAAGCTGCAAGATCAGAGCAACAGCCAGGTGGGCGAACGCCACCCGCCATGAGCGCAGCTAACGCCTCGTTTTGTCGCAGGTTTCCAAAGGACTGATGAACTACCTGAAACACACGCTGCTGGAGATCAAGACCAGCTACGAGGCCGACCGGTATTTTGGCAACGGGTCGAAAAACAGCTTCTCCGAAGCTATGCTCGATCTGCTGGAGCGACAGGGGTTCAGCGATCTGCCCAATCTGATACTCAAAAGCCGCATCCTGCGCGAGTACTCGACCGACAAGCTGATCAACATTCTACTGGAGCGCTGTTCAGAGTGAGTGGTTGAGCATGTCAACCAGATCGATGTCTCTAACCGATCGGCTCCTTCGTAGTGCGACCAACCTGTCTGAGAAAAACCTGGCTTTGTCCATTCTCTACCTGCAAAAGGGCAACGCAGCTAAAGCCGAAGACTATCTGCAGAACATCACCAAAGACAACGCGGTGGACCTGCTGCAGGAGAACTGGGAATTACTTTTCGAGACCACTTTCATTGCGCACGGCTTGCAGCAGCGGCCTCAGAAGGGCACCATGAGCTTTTCCGATCTGAGCGTGGCGCTGATCTCCATCTGCCCGGAGATTCTGGCGGACATTTTCGTCACCCTCATCCTGGATATGAAGGTGATTGGGCTGGCCCGCATGATCAAGGTGTTTCTGGAGTATTTGCCCTCGAGCATCGGCAAGGACAGCACGTGCGCCAGCACCGTGCTGCAGAAGACCCTGGAAGCTTTCTTCACGCGCTACTTTTCCAAGCCGGAGAACGTGGACGTGGCCAAAGTTATCTACGAAAAAGGCGCGACCGACGCCATGAAGCTCCTAGTGCGCTCCTATTTGTCGCAACTGCAGATGCTGCAGCTGAAAGCGGACGCTGAAGACGCCAAAGAGGATCCAAACGGCTGGTAATAGTTGAACAGCTTTGCAGCCGACACTGGGACTAATTGGCGGTTTTTGCAGCAGTGCTGATGTCGACGACTCGCAGCCGTCTAGTCTGGATGAGATCGAAAAGGACAAGGATCAGGAAAAGCTGCAATACAACCGCATCTACAAGACGTACTTCAACGAGAATATGAAAAGGCGCAAAGCGAGCTATTTGTTTTCGCAGGTGCGGCATGAGTATTTGGACAAAATGCCGCCGTTTCAGATCGACATTACAGCCAAGGTGTACGAGGTGTGCGTCGAGGGGTACGTGGCGAAGGAAGCGCCGCCAAAGAACCCGGCGGCGGATGCCGTCTTGAAGAAGCTGCAAGCTTTGCTATGCAGCAAAGTGGTTCCGAACCAAGTGATAGTCGAGGTGAGTCCCGCTTTCAATTTTCGCTTTGACCACGCCGGCTTTTCCAGGTGAATGGCTTTCTGGCAGTGAACGACACCCTGAGGGGGAGCGACAGCTTGAAGACCATCACAATGGGGACAAACGATGCAGTGCTGCTCCTGATCGACGTCTGTCCGCAGTGCTTGCTGCAGTTCGCCAAGGTTTGCAATTGCCGGTGTGAATGTTCCCCTATTTTGTCCATAATTTGCGATCATATTTGCCACTTTATGTGATGTCTTACTGCATTTTCACTAATGATGTCGACTAGATTCGGAAAGGGTAGAACGGAAAGGAAAACGACAGTTTTTTAGCTTCGCGGCTGTGGCTCATAAAATTGGTGATTATCCAGTTGATAAACCGCCGCTGATATCAATTTGGTCCCGACGTTTTGCCTGCAGTCATCGGCAACATCTTCAGGTTTAGTCGGGTTCGTTTTCAGATTTTATTCTGTAAAGCGAACGCTCTGAGTCGAGCGACGACAGGGCTGCTTTTTCCATTCGGGAGCGTAGCTGCCCGCGGTTTTCTCCCTCGCACCCATATAGTTCAGCCAGAGATGCAAGATATGCGGCGCGTTGCTGCGTTCGAACTTGCTACCTGCGCGGCTTAAAATTTCCCAATTTTGAGCGAAGCGA